GTCCAAGTATTTCTGTAAGCCTAGGCAAAGGGCTGTGCGACTCACTTTTGGCAGCAATTAAATTGCGCACTGCGACTACAAAGTCAAAAGGCGGCGGCAGGGAACGGGAGCATGAGGGCAGGGATTGCCAATGCTGCCCATTTCGCTCGATTACCGCTAAAACTGGCATTGTTCAATGCTTGTTTGCGGTTTAAATTTGAAAAAGTCGCGCAGTGTTTATTTACCTTCAATTTTTATTTAATTTATATTATTTTTTTAATAATAATGTTCTAAGACTCGAATCTTGTTTCGTTTGGCCCAGCACTAGAACTCAGCTTTCCTGCTTTACAAAAATAGGCAGCACTGGCTGAGAATCGCCGAGAACTATTCCAGAGTTCGTTTAACTCGTCAGCTTTTCTGAGCGCCGGACAAATCAAACTTATCAGAAATCAACAACAATTATTCAACTGAAAATGCAGCGGCCATAAAAAGAGCCAAACAATGCGAAACTTTTACGAGGCAACAGGACCTGCTCCTGGCTGCATTTCATTTGTTTCATTCTGGGCGAATGGCACTTCAATTCCTTTGACTGCTGCTCCACCTGCCACTGGCCCAAAATGGCAATAAATGCATAAGTTTCCATTTAACGATATTTTGTTACCGCTTCGCACACCTTCTGGCCGTCATATAAAAGGTGCAATGCTTTCTGTTCAATTTCATTTTGGCGCTTTTCCTGCGCCAAACAATTGAGGTACTTGAGTGCGACGTGTGCCAGCGCCTTTTCCAAGCCAATTTTCTTGTTAAATTGTTGTGAAAATTTCGCTTTAAAATTTATTAACGGATGTCGCCCCACCGGGCATATGCTAGAAGATTTATATATGGGTTAATCTTGGCATGCGCCCAAAATGTGGCATTCAAATCTTAAACATTTTGGCTGGCTACGCACTTAATAGTCTTCGCTTGATCGTGTCTATACCCTTGCAGAGGGTACTATAATTTTGTCACGGAATAGGTAAACCATAGAAGTTGATGTATGCGACTTCATAGAACATTTATAGTTATGACGAGGCAATTAATTATTAGAAACCGATCATTATATGATTCTAATCAAGGCTGCAGCCCTGCTTGGAACGAATACGAACTATCCGGATTAAAATTTAAACAGTAAACTGCTAGAAACAGAACCAGTTCGTATTCGAATTCAAATATACTCGTTCACATGAGCCGAGCCTTAAAACGAACCAGTTTATCAAAAGCCATTTGAACCAGAACAAGAATGGAACTATATTTATTCCAAAATGGCTTGATTCAAAATAAAATAATATACACGGGCTAGTAAATTATTTGAAACGGAACCAATTCATATGCGTATTCAAATATACTCGTTCTTAAACCGAACCATTTTTATAATATCTGAGTCGAACCAGAACGGAACCATATTTATTCAAAACTGGTTTGATTCCAAATAAAATACCAAAGCACATCATTTAGCTAAACCATATCTGATAGATGTTAGCTTTGGGTCTATGGAAATCTCTAGCCATATTCTGAAAGCTGTTCTTTTGATCTCACAGTTATATGGCACTTAAAGTTCTCCTCTCACAACTTTGTAAAGTGCTTATTCAAACACTCGAAAGATCATTTCGTGCATAAGAAATTCACATTCACATCGCATAAACATATAAACATATTTCTTGAACAATAAACAACATACATTATATGTATTTTGTGCTGTTGTGATGTCGCGCAATTTCCGCTGATTTCTAATTTCCGTTGAGTAGTCATTAAAAAAACAAAATACAAACAGCAAATCCCTAAGTTTTTTCTTAATGCCCTGCTCCTCAGTTCTCGAGGTCGAGGCGAATCATAATAAATGCAATGCTAGCCATAAAAATAAAAATAAGAAATAAGAATAACAAGTAAAAAAAAGAAAAATATTATAGTTTTGCGAGCGAGTTTCGGAGTTTCAGTTTCAGCTTACGCTGCTCAAATTTCGAACTCACCCCCTCCCCTCATCGCACCACCCTCTTGGTCCCACTGACGTTTCCCTCTATAGGATAATTCGGCTTGTGTTTATTATTGTTCGACTCTCGTTTGGTTTGCGTGTTGGGCGCTCTCCGGTTTTTATGGTGCCGCGTTACGCCGTTTTTTTTTTCCTTTAGTGGACACGCATTATTAAAAAATAAACAATATGTATGCGATGTGCAGGGCCAGAGCCGCAGCCGGAGCCAGAACCAACGACTCGAGCCCTGAGCACTCTTTCGGCTACTCATTTTTCAGTGGAAATTTTTGTGGCCGATCATAAAAAGTTGAGTCGAGCAAATAAACAAAACGAGAATCGAGAAAACACCATAATTAAACAACGAACCAGGCATACTCTATACATCCAATCCATTAATTTTTTACGTAAATAGATATCACGAGATATTAAAATACAATTTTTAGTTGAATACATAGACAGCTTTTAGATTAGATTAGAAATAAGTACATAAACATGGCTTTAAGCCGGATAAGAGCCAGACCAATGCAGCTAGATCACGTTCCTTCTATTTCCGGTTATAAAACATAAATATTTAATATTATATATAGGCAAATAGGGTAATAGGATTATATTAACATATCTCCAAGTTATAGATAGAATGCAAGATAGACATCAATAGAAGAATTATATATAGTATGTAAGATTCTAGACTTATAGATATGAGATTATTAAAAATATAGATAATAAGACTTATACCAAATACACAAATGGATCGATAGTTAGGCCAAGAATTTCTTAAGATCGTTATGAAAGATTTAGCAGATATACATGTAAAACAAAAAGCTAAGTAGATATTCTAAAGGATCACTTAAAGAATAATATATAGGACATTCAATTCAAGACTAATAGAGCTAACGAATAGATCAATAGATATATGCTATATACGCAAAAAGATCGTGATCGACCAAGCTTTTCTATATATATATTTTTATAGTAGAATTGCAGGCAGCTTGAACCAAGCTATTTCTGGGTATATATGTATATATATTCCGCAATGTGAACAATCAAGCTATTATAGTTAATTAAATGAATTAATAAGTGACAGACAGAATTTTTGTAAAACATGGCAAATTGAGCATGCTCCACAGGAGAAAGTGTATAAGTGCGAGCAATGAACAATCAATTGAAGTAGCTACTTTGAGGGAGGAATATATATCCTACAAATTGTTGTGGACAGCAGTTGGCAATTTATGTACTTATCCTATTGTATATGCATTCGATACATGTATCAAAGTGCTTTTCAATGTTCATGCGGGCCGTTTGCAATTAGTTCGACTGTGACAATTGAGAATCAGCCAAAGTTGAGAGTTGCTGCTGCATTATCTTAAAGTGCCCCATAAAAATCACATTTGGCATTATAAAGTCTGATAGAAGAAGAAGAAGAAGAGGAAGTGAGACAAATGCAGCTGCGCCCGGAATCAGAAGTCCAATTCCCAGTCAACCTTCTGGCTGGACAACGTGTTCTCGTCGTCCGTCGTTCTTTGCTATAAAATTTGGTTTTACGAGCGCGCCCGGCGAGCAGCTCATCCTGCTCTGCCAGGTAAGGCTGCAGACCCAGGATTGCGCTGGCATTACAATGATTTTAATGACTTTTACGGCCAAAGACATTGCACCCATATGGGCACGCTGAGATTATGGGATTATATATGGCATTTAAACTGTTTTTATGCTCAAGTCTACAGATTACCAATATGATATTGAATTTTAGGCTAATTGGTAAACAGGCCCTAGAGCTTAAGGTCAAATTGAATGCGTTTTCATTTATGATTTAACTAATATTTTTCGCTTATTTCTCTTCCACTCTCGCGTTTAGCGATAATTAAAAATCTGGCTGTCCTGGAGCTGGTCCAACAAATTCTAGCCCGACAACAGTTCCCCCCGGCGGCGGAGTTTAGTTTAGTAATATTAATAACAACAACAACAACAACAATATGCTAATCCTACACACACATTGTTTTCTCTTCGAACTATGACATATGCATACATATACTAGAAAAGTGCGTAATACCCTGGAAAGTCAGGTGTTGCGCCTAATGAATATTCAAATTGATCTCAACTTAAGTCTAAAGCAAAGGTAATCAATGAAAAAACTGTGCTGATAAAATTATAAAATTAAATATAGCATACATATATATATATATATACAGTGAAAACTCTCTAATGCGAACAGCCGAGGCACGTTAAGAAAAATGGCACTTCTTTATATTGAAAATACAAATTTTTCAATATATTTATAATTTATGAAATGTTATTTCAATGCTAAAATTAAATTTAAGTAAGCACTTAAAAAAATTTCCAATTTGTTTAAAAATATTAAAATTTGTCAAATGTTTTCAAGTTTTTACTCAGCCATACAATTTTTATTCCAGATGTTTGCATAATATTTTCAAGAGTAAATAAGTACTGGCAGCTGTCCGTTAGCAGAGCTTTCACTGTACTATGCATGCATACAATACTTTTCTTAATAATATTAAGGAAGCGCAGGAAAATACACACAGATATCTAGTCCTAAGCTGGCACCGCATAGAGCACCATTTAAATGAAAAAACCCATTTGATAAACATGTACAGCATTTGGATAATTAGTAAACTGTTTTTTTTTTTTTTTAACAATATGTGTATGCGTATAATACTTAATATTTGAGATTATTGAAGCTTGCAGCAAACCAATTTTAAATTAAACAAATTTTGTATTTCTTTTCTATTCGCCCCCGCAAAACGTTACATTTCCTTGGGCTGTGCGCTGTCATGTGCAAAAAAAAGCAGACAGTTTTTTATTATTCTTTTTTTTTTTTAATTGACTGGGCAGTTGGTTAGGGAAAACTGGCTTCTAATTTAAGTAATTTGTAGTTTTAAGTTAAGTTTTTATAAAACATGTATGTATTTTAATGTGTGTGTGTGTGTGTGTGTGTGTGTGTGTGTAGAAAATGTGTGTGCGTGTGTGTTACTTAGGATTGACAAGAACCAAAAACGTTATGCTATTCAAATTGTAGTTGAATTTCCATTATTTGTTTGCATCTGCTTAAACAATAAAACAATTTCCTTTAATCTAACAAGTAAATCAATTAAACAATTAAACATATTAAACATAAAACATTAAAATTTTAAAACACTTCAGATTTGATTGTAGCTTAGGCCTAAATGCAAAACTAAAAATATAAAATTAAATCAAATGCTTCAAAATAAAGTTTTCAATTGAAAAAAGAAGTTTGTTCTGCTGTAAATAAAAATCATAAATGGCCTTTCTGTTTGCCCAATGCTCAGCACTGCAGCCTAGAGATTTTCCAATAATTGGCGCCTACATGCCAAAGAGACCCTTGAGATCGTCGATGGACAGTTTGGTGCTGACCTTGCCGGTCAGTACACCGTCGGCCAGCTCCAGCTTGCGATCTTGGAGCGCCTTGATGCGCTGCTCCACGGTGTCCAGGCATACAATTTTATATATGATGACATCCTTTTTTTGGCCCACACGATATATGCGATCCTGCGCCTGTGCCTCCAACTGTGGATTCCAGTGCAGATCGAACAGTATTAAATGATTGGCACCAATTAGATTGAGGCCAACGCCGCCAGCTGTTAGGGAGAGCAACAGAATGCGCTTGGGATTGCGTTCATCGTTGAACTCATTAACAATGTCCTGGCGATTCTTTACAGGTATGGCGCCGTTTAGCGACAAGGTCTGCAGCCTCTCCTTTTCCAAGAGATCACCCAAAATATCCAGCACCGATGTCCACTGGGACACTACGATAGCCTTATCCTTGGACTTCAGCACGTTGGTCTTGAGTATCTCTAGCACTTTTAGCATTTTGCTGGACGGACGCTTGAGATTAAACACCGGATTGCTACGCTTGAGCACATTCTGGGAGGCCTTGGCCAGACGCACCTCATCGCTGCTGTGCCTGCCGTTACTGGAACGGCGCGAGCTGCTGGAACCGGAGCTATCATTAATAGTCATCTTATTTAGCTGAGCCAGCAAATCGATTTCGGGTGTATAGCTATCGCTGTCATCATGTCCCAAATTGGCAGCGCCCTCCTCCTCCAACATCTACAAAAAATATTCAAGGAATTAGGTTGTTCCAAAGAGGCGTATATATGTATATATAGCTGCAATGTATACCGAATCTATGAGTCCGGGATGACAGCAAATTTGTCGGAGACGCAGCAGCAGCACCAGAATCTCATGGGATTTCACCTCCTTGCTGTGCCCGGCCATGCGCGAGAATTTCTCGTGCATTTTATAGTAGGCACCATTGGGATCTTTGATCTGATTGTAGGTGGGCTTGCGAGCATCGTTGATGAAATTGGCATCCGAATCCTTTTCGGCACGCTGGAACAGAAACTGTGCGAACAGGGTTTGCGAGAAGGCCATCACCTTCTGGTACACATTCATTTCGTCCGTATCGAGATTCATTTCAATCAAGCGTACTTCCTTTTTGGGCAAACTGTTCAGTTTGCCATCCAGCTGGAGCTGGGCCTTGGTCCGCCGCAACATTAGGGATTTCATCAGCAAATTAAGGCGATCCTGTCCACCGGCACTCTTGTTATCGATCCATTTCTTCCACATGGCCAGATCATCAAAGGGCGAGCAGCGCAGAAACTTGAGCAGCGCATAAACGTCCAGCTCCTTATTCTGAATTGGAGTGCCAGTCAGGGCCCAGCGATATTTACCGCGCAGCTCGCTAACTGCCATCGATGATTGCGCCTTATGGTTGCGCACCACATGCGCCTCATCCAATATGATACGGCGCCACTTTACGCCATGCAATGCTCCATTCATCTTATGCTCCCTAGAGACAATGTTGTAGGTGGTCACCACCATGTCATAGGTACGTAGATTCTTGCCCTTGGTCTCGCGTTGATTGCCGTGATGCACGCAGACCGTCAGACGATGGCGCGACAACTTGGAGGCGACTTCACCCTCCCACTGGCGCAGCAGACTGGCGGGGCAAACCACCAGGGTGCCACCTTTGTAAGCTGCAGAACACAAAAGGCAGTTGAAAAAAGCCAAGAAGCAAAGGTGCTATTCAGCTTGCCGAAGATTAAATACTCTTGCAGACATCGACATGGCTAAGACAAAGAGGATTCGAAGATGTCCGCTTGGCTATGGGATACTTACTATCCTTGCGTCCCTTGGAAGTCCAACCGCCCACGCTTTTGCGCTTCTTGCCCGGATCGTCCTCATCGTCGCTGCTTGCAGATTCGGCGCCAGCGCCGCTCTCCTGCCCATTTTTACCAGCCAGCACCAGGGCAATCATAGTCAGCGTTTTGCCCAGGCCCATGTCATCGGCCAAGATGCCACCGCGTGGACGCTGCTGTTCGCGCCAGGACATCCAGGCCAGTGCATGCCTCTGATGGTCCATCAGCTGCACCTTCAATCCATTGGGTTCATCTGCCATCACATGCTCTGCCGGACAGCCCTTTAACGAGCCATGCAAATCCTACAAAGTACAAGAGCATATTAGAGACACATTCGAACAGGCAACTGAGCAGGGCCAGAGGGCGCTGGTTCAGAGATGTGTGTGTGTGGTTTTAATCAGCGCGTGCTCGTGAAAGACGTCCGCACAGTAACTCGTGCCTGGCCGCCAACAGAGGCAGCACGCAGCTCAGATATCCATTCTAGAAGAACTCATCATGCAAAGAACTTGCGACGCTTAGCTGCAGAATGAAGCAGTCGGAACGTACCTTGAGGGAATCAATGGTGAGCGCCTTCATGGCGTTGAACGCCGCCAAGCCTTTGGCACCCGTGTGTGTGGGCTGTATTTGATTGACCGCTGCGGACAGCTGGTCCCAGTCGGGCGCCTCGGGATTTGGGGATTTACGTGAATTGGAGGCACGCGGCTTGGAGACCTTAATTTGTGGCTTCTCCTGCTGCACAGTTAGGCCGGACAGATATTTTTGTTTAATTTCTATGTCCTGACGCAGTGCATCGATGCGCTTCTTGATCTGTATGCCCTTGTCGGGCAGCTTGTGAGCCACCTTCTCGTACAGCTTCTCCGCCTCGTTCAACTGGACGTGCATTTCGGTTACTTTGCGCGACTCCTTCTCGTAGAATTCAGGCGAAACGTGCTGGCCCTTGGTGCTGGCGCGCCGGGGCGATTGCTTCTTAATGGCCGCCTTAATGGTCGGCTGTATTAATTTGTTGCCGGATCGGACCCTGGGTGCCTCGGAGCTGCTGCGTGGTGAAAAGCCGCGCGATTTGCGGCCATATGCCGAAGCGCCCGATGCATCTTCCCTATTGTAACTGTCATCGTTGTCGGTGCTGCTGCTGATCTCAATGGGCGTCTCCTTGTTGCTCAAGATGAGCACATCGCTGCCAGATGAATCGTTACTCGGCGACTTCGGCAGCTGCAGCTGTTGCTGGTCATTGGGAAAGAGTGTCGAGTGCAATGTGTCCTCAATGCTGGTCGCAAATTGTGTGCTGTAACGTGGCGAGTGCAGGCCATCGATGGTGGCACGGCGATAACGCTCCGCGGCAGCCTGTTCGCGCTCCACATCTTCGTCGTAGGTCTCATCCGCCTGATCGCTGTTGCTGTGGGTTGACTGCTCCTGCCGAGACTGCGGCTGCCGCTCCTCTTCGTCGCTGTAGTCAATCTCACTGGAGCCGTCGCTCATATCGTTCGGCCGCACACCCGTGATGCTCATGCGCGTGCGCGGTGACAGGGCGCGCTGATCCAGCTCGTCCTCCTCATCGCTCTCTGAATAAATCACGGCTTGGCGGCGGCCGCCGGCTCGCTGGCCATTTCTAACTGGTTTGCGCACGCTAGAACCATCGGAATCCGTATTCGACTCCTCGACAGTCAAATTGCTGACGACGCTGCGACGGCTGCCGCCAGAGGCACGGCCAGTGTTGACGCTGCCACGACTGGAGGAGCGTCCTTGTGTATTGTACAATTTATTTCCATGTTGATTTTGTTTATAATTACCAGAATTTATTAGTTTACTCACCCGATGTTGTATTGCTGACGACTTCCGCCTCTTCGTCGCTGTAGAACTCGTCGCTTTCACTCGACATTTATGCAATTTTCGTAGCTCTTTTAACAAATTTCAAGCTGCACACAACAATTTGGGCGCCAGTTAATTTCAACAATGTAGCTGTAAATGTTGCCGCTCTTTGGGTTTCAGCGATCTGGTCACACAGCAGGCATGCAACCAAACAGTACTGTATTGTTGTTGTAACAGTGCTGCCAGAAAACAATCAACGACTATAATACTATACGGTCTTGTAAATAAACAGCCTACTTTTATAACAGAGTTGCCACGTGTCAAAAAGCGATTGTTCGATAAAAGTGGTCTTAGCTTGAGAAGCCCTTAAGCGTCGCGGTCACACTTCATTTAAAATGCGCTTATATTTAAATCAAATATTTTTTAATTAAGAATAGGCATTTAGTCACGCGGTACTGTATTGCTGTTGTAATAGTGTGCCCACACAATGAAAAACTACCGAGTATTTACTTAACACACTCTGACTTGCGAGCAGCCTGTTGTAACTGTTTTGTCAGCTTTGGTTTGGTTTTAGCTTTATAATCGTTTGTATCCTACGGGCACACTGCATTTCGAATGCATGTTTATTTAAATGCAATAGTTACTTGTACCGAATAGAATTTATTGTAAATTTAATAAAAAATTCGTATTTTAACATAGTGAAAAATGGAAATTATTGTGCATATATAGAGCTGCCGGTTTGAAGGTCCCGTTGCTCACTTCTTGAAGATGTTATTGACGGCACATACAATATTCCGAGCAGAGATGCCGAACATGTCGATCAGAACGGCTGGTGGTCCAGAGCGTGGCACCGTGGGCACATACAGATGCTTCACCACGAAATTACGATGCTCGGCGAGAGCGCTAAGCACAGCCTCGCCCAGACCACCTTGCCTGCATAGGAGTAAACAAAAGAGAAAGCCATTTAGCCTGGCAGGAAGCCAATCTGGGGGTTTCACTTACTGGTAATGATCTTCGACGACAACCACACGGCCGCCGCACTGCTTGCCATGCTCCAAAATCAGATCCACGTCGAGTGGCTTCACCGTGAAAGGATCGATGACACGCGCCGTAATGCACTCCTTCTCTAGCTGCTCGGCGGCGGACAGGCACTCGTACAGTGTGATGCCGGCGCCAATGAGCAGCACCTCATCGGAGGGCTTTTGGCGCACCACCTTGCCGCGTCCAACGGCAAAGTTCTCATCGTTGTTGTAGATGACGCACGTATTGGGACGCGAGGTGCGTATGAAGCACACGCCCTTCGTATTGGCGGCCAGCTCAACGGCACGCTCGGTGCTCACCGCATCCGAGGGATAGAAGACGGTGCTGCCGGGAATAGTGCGGAACAAGGCAATATCCTCCAGGCCCATCTGTGAGGGACCGTCCTCGCCAATGCTGCAGCCACAGTGGGAGCCCACAAAGTTCACGTTCGTCTGCGAGATGGCGCCCATGCGTATCTGATCGAATGCGCGCGTAAAGAACGTGGCAAACGTCGAGGCAAAGGCCACGGTACGTCGACGACAGGCGGCACCAATGGCCACGCCCACCAGATTCTGTTCGGCAATGAAGCACTCGATATAACGCTCTGGATAGGCATTGCGCAGCTTATCGGAGAATGTGGAGTTCTTGGTATCGCCATCGAGAGCAATCACACGATCGTTGTCGGCGCCAATCTTGGCCAGCGCTGTGCCGTAAGCCAGGCGTGTGGCCACCGCATCGCCCAGCTTGTAGTTGGGGGGTGCGCACAGCTTAATATTATTGATGTCCACCTCGGGCGCCTGGCCCGATTTGCACATTTTCTTGGGCGTCAGCTTGACGTTCGGATTGACAATCTGGCTCTGCAGATGCTTGATGACGGCGGCCGCCTTATCGCCCAATGGCTTGCCATGCCAGTTGTCCAGATCCTCAATGTCCGGAAAGTCCTTGCCCTTGAACGTCTTGGCTATGATGGCCGTGGGCTTGCTCTTCGTGCTGGCTGCACAGTGCAGCGCCTTGCACAGCTCTTCGATGTCATGGCCATCCACGACGAGCGCATTGAAGCCGAACGCCTCCAAACGATCCCGGTAGACATCCATTTTGTGTTGCAGCGAGGTGGGCTCCGACTGGCCCAGCCTGTTCACATCGAAGATCACGCACAGATTGTCCAGGCCATAGTGGGCGGCAAAGTGCAGCGACTCCCAGACGGAGCCCTCGGCGGATTCGCCATCGCCCACAATCACATAGGTGCGATAGTCGGCCTTATCGAAATTTTTGCCCACATACGCCATGCCAGCGCCCACGGCGACGCCCTGGCCTAGAGATCCGGTGCCGACATCTATGAAATTTAGACGCGGCGTCGGATGACCCTCCAGATCGCTGTCGATCTTGCGCAAGTTCTTTAGCTCGTCCACGGGAAACAAGCCCGCCTCTGCCCAGGCGGCATACAAAATGGGTGCCGCATGACCCTTGGACAGGATCAGACGATCGCTGGAGGGATCACGCGGATGCTTCATGTTCAATCGCATCTGCTGGAAGAACAGCACGGACATGATTTCGGCAAGGGAACTGCATGATGTTGGGTGACTGCAAGAGTAGCACAGCGAATAGAGACAAGATTAATTTAAGAATTCAACAGAACCGCGTACTAAGAATGGGATATACGAAAATATATATGTTTGTACAGCAATCGGTATAGAATATATGTATATGTATGTATGTACAGTACAGTATTTATTATTTTTGTTGATCTCGAAATCATACGATCATGTGCGTAGCCCTAAAATTGTTCGTAGTATAAAGAAATCCGATATGCTGTGAAAACTCTGCAACCAAAGTGGAGGCTCGTCTTACAGACCACATTTGTATACATTACATGCATACATACATGTGTCTATATGTATAAATGGACCTTATCGCTGAGGCGTTTTGTATACGTTTTGACATAGAAACCGGTTGGCCGCTTTTAGCCTCAAATATGCACGTTCTGCAAAAATAGATCTGGGCACACAAACTTTTTGCACGGATTTGTAGGGGGCCCTTGGCGACGCCCTTTGCTCAATAAAGAACTATTGAAGGTTATGTTGAATGGGAATGCTCCAGCCGGTCACCTCTATATAGTTTGTAATCGGTCATATCTTTAGCTGTAGCTCTGACAAACCAAGCAACTGTAGGTTATCTGCTTACCACGGGGGGTAATAGAGAGGTCACTAATACACATATACAAACGCATGTGCATGTTGAGAGTGGCTTATCAGTAAAGTGGAAAAGTAAGATGCGATAACTAGTCCAAATTGGGCTAAAATGCATTGAAATAGTTGATGATAAACTCGTACTTTAACTGCTTAGCTTATCGTGCATTTAGTTTAATTAGTTACCCCCATAAAGGTCATAAAAACGTCAGAGCGTGGTAGCGATTTTGCGGCCATTAAAAATGATGTTTGTGTTGTTTTCTGTTGTTGCCGTTATTGCTATTATGCGTTGCCAACTGCCCACAAAATTCAGAGCTTTTGAACACTGAACTTAGAAGCGCCGCTGCTACGCCTCACGCACGTAAGTAAATGTGTGTGCCTAAAACTGGATATGCTGAATTTACTGAATAAGCTACATACAATTGTCAAGGTCAGTAAAGGTTAATTAACAACTTTGCGAATTAACAACCAAACCATTAATCGCAGTTTTTCTAAAAGAATTCCAATTCGCATGCAAACGCACACACACCTAAACTCGCACTCATACTGAATGTGCATGTGTGCGTGTATGCAGTGTAGTAAATAAATGTGCTTTTTTAGAACGGCGTTGCATTGAGAAAAACACGTGGCCTGGCAGCCTTAAGCCGGGGGTCACCTTTGACGGCCCAAGAGTCGTTCGAGCGTGCCAAGGTACACAACTTTTCCTAAGGTGATTGTATGCTTACCCAGATTTGGAGGCCTGGGTTGAGTTAATGGAATCAATACGCAACTTGTGCGCAATATCTTTCAAATCCTGAACAGTCTTGGCTTCCGGCTTGTGATACGCCATTCTGAGTACGATACGCGTGGGTGTTGGCTGAATGGGTGAACTTGAGTTGTTGCCTGTTAACCAAAGGGTGGCGATTCTATTTTTGCAAACGGCGGACCAAAATAATGCCGTATTGGTAGTTTAAGTTTCTTTGGCACAAAAGCGGTCAACAACAGTGAACTCTTGCAGCCGGCGATTGGAACTAAACTGCCACTGCTGTCAATTTTGCTTTGTATGGGCGCAATTCTGTCTGCCTATGGCGACGCTGACGTCGCAGTCGTTGGCACACCAAATAAAAGCTTTAAAGTTGAAGAGTGCGGTGAAACGGCTTGGTTTGCTTGCTGCTAGAACGAGATGAGAATAGGGTACATTAAGTTTGATGTGCTTTTAAGCCCACATTTCACTCTACAGCGCGAGTAGAGTGAGCGAGGTACTTTATTCGATTCGCATGCGCAAGTTATTTTAAAACAGAATATATGCCTCAATTTCAAGCGCTTTTACAGTACGCCTTGAAATAAGACATTGGTCGCTCGACATATGCGCCTTCGATAGCTCAGTTGGTAGAGCGGTGGACTGTAGTATGGCATATTTATAATATAGACATCCATAGGTCGCTGGTTCAAATCCGGCTCGAAGGAATTAACTTTTTCTTGGTTAATTTTTATAAAAGTACCTTTTTACAGTGTTGAACATACGAATATACTAAAATTTTGCTTAATGTTGATCGCATTTAGTTTAAAAATAAAAAATATTAAAACAGATGATTTGCTGCAGGCGTAATCTGAGAAACTGATTTAAAGCAAATATATGTTTGGAAGTCGAACTAAATAAAAATGCCAACTTGATGAATACACAAAAAAAAAAAATGTATAAATAAATAGAAAGCAACCAAAAAGATGAATCCTTCGAGCCGGATTTGAACCAGCGACCTATGGATGTCTATATTGTATATTCCGTGCTACAGTCCACCGCTCTACCAACTGAGCTATCGAAGGCGCATGACCGGACGGAGCTAAAATGCACATTGATTGGGTCACCGCTGAGGCAAACAGATGTGGGCGGAGCAGAGTGTCAACGAATGGAAAAAAAAAACGCATTCTGGCAATTTAGCGTGTTGATTTATTCTCGGATGCGCACAAGTTGAAATAATTATAAATAAATACAAATAAATAAATATATATATATGTATATATATATATATATATATATATATATATATATGTAATCTCTTTTGGATAT